TTGTGTGTCTTGGGCACTGTACAAACCTTCCTGTATGAATTCATTCCTGTTTGTTCTGTTTACAGCATCAAATGAAACTCAAAGCGCTTTGTTGTCAGTGAAGGTTTCTTGCTGTTTGACGTAAAGAATACATGAAAATGACAGCAGCCAAGGCAAGGGTCTAAATTCTGAGGTCCTCTAGACGAATAAAAGAAAGTTTTTCTCTCCATCGGCTCACAGCATTAATATTAGCAAAACTATTTACGTATTAGTCATTACTGGACTGATCTTTAATGTCCTGATAACATTCAGGTATTGACAAATTTAAACTTCTTCCATAAATTCACTAAATTCTTCAATCTGTTGACAAATTTTTTCTGTTTTTATTTTGCTTCATTGTAGGTTATCAAACTAACTTTAAAATCAGCCTAAGACATGGAATCACAATCTACAAGATTTTTTTTATTGTTATTTTAAGTCAGTAACCATGAAGGAAATCCAAGTTTTTAAAGCGTGAACCAACGCAGATGTATCCTTGTTAAATCATAAGTTAATCACATTTGTTTGGTCGGGTTTTGTTAGCCTGATTACTGCCAGGATCAGCAGAATCAATAAATCGCCTAACAGAACCCATCTAACAACATGAAGTAGGCCAAAAGAGCTCAGAAATCAGCATGTTGAGCTAAAGAACAGATGAGAAAAACGTTTTTCTTTTTCTCTCATAATGAATTTTTGCTCAGTTCATATAGAGTTGTGTTATTTTTGCCTGAATAAATCCAGAACCAGGACAGAAAAAGGCGTCTGAATCAAATTGTGAACGTAAAAATTGGAATCGAATCGCTAGATTCCGGTGCGTCTCCAAGGAAACGGAAGGGACATAACGGAGGACGTTTGCTGCGTCCCACTGCTCGTCTCAGTCGCTGATCCTGGAAACGGGCCAGCTGGCTAAAGGGAGTCAACCCTCTGCACTCTGTTTAGCTCAGCACATGAATGATACTTAACCTTTGAATGTCACCATATGCAATATTCAACACATACACAAAGAGCAAAGAAAACATGCAGTCTGTTTGTGACGGTGCAGCAGCCACTGGTGGACTTAGACATGACTGGATGGTACTAAAATCAGAGAGCAGACTCTATGTAGATCTGAAATTAATAAATATAGCACTGAAAAATCCATTATCCTGCTGAATATGTAAAGTCTCAACAAATAAAGTTAACATGAAGTTGGCTATTTAAAGTCAAATGAAGCAATACATCATTAACTAAATGATAAATTAAGATCCGGTTAATACTTTCCATTTGAACAACAATCTTTAATGAGCTGACTACCTGTAATATCGTTGAAAAGTCCTAAATGGAACTTTTGTTCCAATTTGTTTCCCTGATGAATATTTTTTGAAACACAATTTTGATCACAGAGACTTCATAATACAATTTAATTGTTGTTGTGTTTATTTTGGATATTTAAAATTCCAGTGTTAAATGTGATTTAGATTTTTTTTTTTTAATCTTTGAGAAGGTGTACTTGCACTGATATGCCATTATTGTTACTACATCAGTTGAAAAAAAGTTTTATTGTTTTTCACAATAATTTCAGGGACAAGTTATCATCCAGCAAAATTTAAGTGACAAACCTACAACTGCTGCACTCAAAGGCAACAACATATTTAGAATGATGTATACCTTACACTTCATCTGCAGTATAATTAATATTTGCTGCAGGGGAGAGAATGCAGGTTTACAGTCTGATCCAAACACTTTTTACACTTTCTGTCACATGAGCCAATATCACCAAAGGAAGTGATTACAAACCATAAATCATAGTTCTTATTTTTTTAAATCTATTTTCAGCATCAAGAACAAGATTTCTTGATTCTGTCTTTAAAAACATTCTTATATTTTCCCCAATTAAAATAAATCAATAACATTTATATTTGGATGCGTTCAGGTTTAAGGAATGACTCCTTCACCGTGGCATCGCCTGAATTTCACTAAGTATGTTTTAAGATATATTTACAGTAAAGCAATTGTTCAGGACATTAATAAAGCAATTTTTTCTTGAGATAACATTTCCCCTGCTGAATAAATATCCTCAAGTAAAGGTTGGATTTTTCTACATGTTTCAGAGTGAGATTGCGGTGCTGCTAAAAAAGCTGAATTTATTCAGAAACTTTTTCCACGTTGACTCGTTAGCAGGGAAAGTGTTGAACTGGAATGTTTTTACTGTCGGGTATTCCTCCGTAGCGCCGCGGACCGGGGAACGAGGGAGCACGGCGGCTGGAATGTGTCGAAGAACAAGAAACCGAAAGTGGGAATCAGGCGGAGCGGTGAAAGCGTCTCGTCATGTTCTACCAGGCCCCATTTCTCACAGTGTGATTCCTCACAGGGGCTTAACACACGGATGATTACTATACTATTACTGCTGCTGCAGTTGTCTGGCACGGAGACATGACTGTAGCAGTCCCCCGCCCCATCTCCCCCCACCCCCCCGCCATTCGTTCCAGACTGGAATGCCTATATTTAGAGCGCTCCTTTCCGCTGTTATGGTTGTTGAATCATTAGCCTCGTTTAACCCTTCTTTACCTCCAACGAGCCGACTGGCGGAGGGCGAGCCCCTCAGGGGGAGCTCCTAAATCCTGCCTACACCAAACCAGAGCCTCCTTTCCAATGAATGACGGCGAGTGTTTGGAGAAAACCTGAGGAAGAACTCAAACACTCGATAATAAAAATAATAGAAACGCTCCTGGCCTGGGAGGGACGTCTGTCTCTCATCTTATTTTGTTTGACATGTTTGAGGGATGGTGATGTTGACTGGCTAGTTGGAGGGCGTGACCTTTCATCCGCTGCACCCTCTGGGGGACGTTGTCCACATGTGGACGAGCAAGGAGGAGAGAGAAGCAGCCACTGTTTATTTCTGCGAGATTTTACGATTCACATTTAAATGACCTAAATTTCCGTTTCTGGTGCTGTAGAGCCGAGGTCCAGATATGGACTTCAAGTCATCTGCTGTAACACAGCAAGAGTCCACGGACTCCCTGTCAAAACTACCGTAGGTTAACGAAGAAAAGCAGCAGAGAAAAGGAAGAACTAAGACGAGAGAGAAAGGTTTTAATTCAGACCGGATGGACTCCGACATGTTCTTTCTTTCTGTGTGGAGATGAAAACTTGTCTTCAGAGAGAGAAAAGCATTAAACTTTACGATGTGAAGAGCAGCCAAGAACCAAAAACCAGAATTGGAGCACAGAAAAACAATTATTACAATAAGCAGTTTGACAGATCTGTCAGTCAGACAATACATCAGCTGGATTTTAAACCAATCCACCAAACCAACAAGCGTGTGTACAACTCTGGCGCTCCAACAAAGGAATTTGATAGAGATTTTTGTTGTAATTTTTAGGGTGAGATTTTCACAGATTTATTAAACATCTTCTTAACCTGGGAATCGTTAGGCCAGACACAAAGTTTTCTATGAACCATAATTTTAATGAGACTGGATCAATAAATGCATGGCGACTTTAAGTAAAGTGGCTTGGGCACATTTAAATTAATTAAGCTTGACAAAAAAAATACCTGAAAGTTTTTTAAGAAACATTGAAACTAAAAATTTTCTGGCCAACCAACAAAATAAAATAAAAAATAGCTTTGTTTATTTAGAATATTCCTGTGACAAAATGATAACAGAGGTTCATTCTAATTAATTATTATTAAATTAGGTATAATGCCTTAAAAATAATACTTATAACACGTTTCTGGCCCTGTTGCACACACTCCAGCCCAGTAGGGGGCAGGCATGCGCCTCAAGGTTGTTATTCAACTGTAAAGAAGCTGCACAGAGCGAATAGTGCTGCAGCAGCACTGAAGTCTAGCCGAGGAAAAGATTCAGACAAAATCAGCAACACAGTATGAAATTATTTGACAAAAATGTAAATAACTGAAATTAATCTAATGAATAAATCACACTAATATATATATAAATATTTATAGTATGACATTTTCTCTTTGTGAGAGCCATATTGGTCTGTAAATTAATGCTCAAACTGTCATGTTTAACTAATCTTCAGGAACAGCTTAAAGCTATAAACTTATTCCGAATCCTAATTTTTTCTTGCAACCTCTGAGGGGAGCATATTTTCAGATGTATGCAGCTGCAGGCAGATCATGATAGTTTAAATCAGAAATAAAATGAAAGAATCAGAGAGATGTGATCTATACATGTCAGTTTTTTACCACATTCTGAAATTATTTAAATCTAACCTCAAATGTACAAGAAGACAAATGCAGGTTTTATGCTGAATTCGACAAATGAGGACAAAATGGAAAGGTTTGTTAATCTTCAAAAGTTTAGAAATATAGGAAATGCCTTATGTTCAAGATTTTCAGTCAAAAGGAGTTTTAATTTTTATTTATTTATTTTAATCTCAAGACTCTGTGACTAAACATGGACGCTCTAAAGCAGCCGCAATACTCCGGACATCTACAACAGAAATTTGACACAGTTGACTCCTCCCAAATTAAAAGCAGTTCATCAGCAGCGGCAAAATGCTCCAGGCCAGCCACACATCTGCTGAACGGGGATTTACTTCCTCCTATTTCTATCTTGGCACCTGCATCGTCCTCGCCTTCCCATATACGGAGCCGAGTACTGATAAACAACGTCAGCCTGCCAAGTTCTCCCTGCTTGTTGATTACTGTTGGGTCTGTCTTGATTTAGGACGAGCGGGACTAATCCGAGATGATGCGATGCGTCTGTCAATCATAGCTCCCGGTTAGTCAGAGAAGGCTGATTGGAGACGGGCGGATGAGCCTAAACAGCCCAGCTTCACACGGTAAAAACAACGCATCCTGATTTATGAAACAGGAGGATACGTTGGCGTTTTCTCGTGGATTTTGTGCAGCCGAGGCCAGTGGTCATGAAGGTGCATCTGGGTGTCTTCATGTGCGTGCGTGTGTGTGTGTGTGTGTGTGTGTGTGTGTGTGTGTGTGTGTGTGTGTGTGTGTGTGTTTGAGGTCCTTCCTACCGGTGTGGATCTGCCGGTGAGCCTCCAGGGATTCCTCGGTCTGGAACTGGGCGCCACACTGGTCACAAACGATGGCCTTCTCTCCAGCTGGGCAGAAAGAAAGAGGCAGATAGTTTTTAAAATTGAAGTCTACAGGACCTTTACATACAAACATGTAAGACAACTCAGTTTTTCTCCACCTTTTGTTGGACACAAAAAATACTGAAAATGAACACCATGAAAGCAAACTGTTAAATGAGAAGCCATGTCAGCAAGAGAGACTTAGGCAGATTTACAGCTAATTGGTACAATAAAACCAGAAGAAATTGTTTTAAAGGGAGTATTATGTACTTTCCAGGCACATAATGCCAGTTTATAGCATAATCAAGTAACTTTGTTACCTTCAGTTCTTATAAAATGCTGTACATATCAAACATAACTTTAAAAAAATCAGACTTTGCCTCACTGTCTCTTTAAAAAGCTCCTACACCTTCCGACATGTCCCCTTCAGATAATTGTCACAACAATGCTCCTCCACAATGCTGTTTACTACCCTTCTTAGTAGCTCAGCAGATGTGGAGTTTCACCAGGTAATCGCTGCTGCTGCTAGTCTGGAGGAGCTCTGAGGACGTGGTGGAGGGGAAGCTCAGTTGGGGACTGCAGCTCCAAGGCGACACTTTGTGAGAGCAAGCATTTAGGCTCCCCTGAATGGTTGCATAAATGCTACCATTTAGACATTTAGGAGATTTAAAGGATTTCTCAAACATGCATGAAATAATTGAAACAACACCCCAGGCATGTTTTTGATAACCGAAGCAAAACAAAAAAACAAACAAAAAAAACCCTGTGAATTTTGCCCAATAACTCACTTTAAGCTAAGAGGCAATTAAATTCAAGAAAACATGTCCTACATAAAAAAAATATAAGCACTACAGTGGTCTCTGGGTTTAGGAACAACCACCCAGAAATACTGCAGAGCTCCCCTGAAACACTTAGAGATGCCTATTTTAATAGCTCAAAAATCAAATATACCTCAATATGCATTAATACACTGAGTGGAAATTATATTAGCACAACCACAGAAGCTAACATCTACAGTCTTCATCATTTCCAACAATCACCATTTAGGAGAATGAAAGGAGCCCCTTGATTGGCTGCTCTGGAAACATCAGCCAATAACGTCTCAAGTAGCATTATGCTAACTATCTTAGCTTCCCAAGCTGAATTTTCATCCCATTAACTTAGATATGAAATAACCTTTGAATAGCTGGGGGTTAATTGTACTTTGTTTCATAAACTGATATACAAGAGAATCAAAAATAATTTCTTTATCCGCTGTTGAAGTAAGAAAGTCTCAGGAGGACGACTCAGAGGACCATTTTGGATCTGAACATGTGTGAAACATTTCTGAAGTTGATCCACCTTTCATATTCCGCATGAAGGATCTGCTGATGCTTTCTCTATGATTTAAGTCTGGTAACCACAGTCCAATGTGTCTGTCTGTCCATCCCACCACACATGAATAACTTGGCTACATTTGAGACACTTGTAGGACTCCAGTCACCAAGCTGCAGATTTTAGTGAGGAAACTTGCATGTTTCCATTCACTCTGTTGTGATAACATGCTGTAATTTGCACCATACCGTTTCATTTTTAGAACTTTTATGAATATATTTGAATGTTTGATGTGTTGTTCTCTGTAATTTAGCTTTCAGTGCATTTAGCACTCTAATCTGATAAATCCCTCCATCCGCCCTCAGACTGGTCAGACTCCAGACTTGGAACTTCATGAATATGCAAATTGTGGCAGAGGGTGTCATCTCCTTCCCCAGACACGAGTTCTGTGTTCCGATTCTCCTGCACAAGATGATTAAACGTCAAACAAAATGTAGTTAGGAATATGATTTGCCTCGGCACATTTAAAGACTTTAAGTAAAAAGAGGACTGCATATTGCTCAGTTGCAGTTATGAGCTCTGGATCATGAATCAGAGAATGAGAGCCGCGAAACAAGCCGCTGAAATGAGGCTGCACTCAGCCTGTTGCCCCGGCGACTTGATTGCAGATAAAAAATAAATAACGATTCTCATTTACTACAATTCCAAATCAATGTCTCAAAATTGATTTAAAAAACTTAAATATATTCTGTAAAGAGGAAAACAAAATGTTTGCCTTCTCTGTTGAAGGCAAACATTTGGACTTCTTCTGTTTTTTACTGAATTCCGGGGAAGATCCAGTTTGACATGAGTTTCGCCGTGTTTGAGGTTCGTTAAATGCAGATTGAGAACTTGGAGGAACGCCGCAAATGAACGGAATGAACTTTAATGTCTCCATTTGTGATTCTGCCTTGCAGAGAAGACTGGAGTAGATCATGAAGATAATTTTCATTTCTGAAGCAGAAATCATTATGAATAATCGCTTGGAACAAAATAAAAAATCTATTTTGAATCAAATTGTGTCCCCAAAATTAGTAAGAGTAACAGATAGTAAGAGACTCTCAGCACTACTGAAAAGACTGCATTGATGCATTAAGAAGTTCTCAACGCATCATTACATATTAGCCTTACCACAAATTTTTAGCTGGACTTAAGTCTGGACTTTGACTAGGCCAGTATATCTAAACCATTATATTTTATCTAATGCTTTATATTTAGGGTCACTGAGACTCCCATCCATCAGCATGATGCTATCAGCGCCATGTTTCAGATAACTAAAATATCTCTAATTTTGCATTTTACTGAATGAAGAAATATCTGAAAAACAACAATTTTGACATCATGAGAACTTCAACAGTCCTCCTACAGCACAGCTATAATTAAATACACATTAATGGCCCTTTAATGTGTCAAAATGTGTTGCATGACTTCTCTTCACTGTTAACCCCAGAACAGGATCTTAAAGCTATCTAAATAACGTTGGGCAAACCTCCAGCTCCGTTGCACAACATTCTGCTTCTGTTTATGCAAGACTTCGGAGAAGCATGCAGCCATCGAGCTGCAGGATGGATTGCCATGTTGCTGCGTACTTCATCAACATGTCCAACCCTGAGCAACAATAAAAGAGGCAGAGACAGGAGGCCGCATGTACATCCACGCAGGCCGCCGTTGAAGGGCGCATCGGATCAAACCGAGGCAAACGGCTTTTTATGGGTTGGCAACAAGCTCCGTACATGCCATACACATCACACATGAAACATGCTAACTGCCTTTTAACATCTGGTTGTGGTGTGTGCAGAGCAGCTGTGCACGCGTATGCATGCGTGTGTGTGTGTGTGTGTGTGTGTGTGTGTGTGTGTATGCATGCGCGTGCATGTGCATGCGTGCGTGCGTGCGTGCGCTGCAAGCACACAACGATCTCCCCTGACTAGACCTTGGTTTGTTCTTGGCATGGCCTTCTGGGTTACGACACCTCGACAGAGAGAGAGAGGGAGAACAAAATGAAAACAGGAAGCCAATTCTTAGATGACAGAGAGAGAGAGAGAGAGAGAGAGAGAAAAAGTAAGGGAGCGATGTGCTGGTGTGGTTTTGCAACCGCAGTGACATTAGGGAACGGCTTGTACTGTAATAAGCTCCACCAAAAGCAGAAATGACACGAACCGTAACATGACAAAGAGTGCCAGCCAGCCACCGGAGGCGCTTACGCAACAAGTTATGCAAAAGACGGGACAGCGCACATGTGATCGTGAGTAGATCATGAGCCGCTGTAATGCAACCTAAAACGCCTGAAAATCCTGGATTAATCTGCAATATCACAGCATGCATTTCCATTTGGGAAAGTTTTCAAAATGCAGAGCTTTGGAGACAAAAAACAGTTTTTAATTGGCTGCAAGTTCAGGAGGCATCCTTCGTAGAGCGAGCTGCAGATGAGCATATGGCTGAATTAGCTTGGCGAAAGCATCCACTTAAGCTTTGGAGGAGAGAGACGTGCAGAGAAGATGTAGACAGATTCCCTCATTGCTGCTGATCTGCATTCATCACAGCCTGCCTTTGTTGCGGTTGAAACTTCGGATTCATCGCTGCGCTATGTGTGATTATTACTTCTGTGAGCCGCAGCCGCTCGGATAAACTTCTCTGGACCCTTTCCACGTATCGATCCGGCTCCAACGACTGGCCTCACAGAAAGCACCTGAGATGATTTTATGACCACAGGAGTGCAACTCCAGCTCCGTCACGTGAAGCTGATGGATTACATCAAAGTAAATACACATTGAGGTTCAACAATTCATCAGCTTCCATTATTGGGTGCAAGTTACCCGGAGCAGCGCGGCTCACTGAACAGCTGCTTCCCCACGTCACTGAAAAACTCAGATGCTGCTGCCATTAAATTCAAAACGGAAAAGTTTTTATTCCACCTAGAGAGCCATGCTGTGTGTTTATTTCTGCTAATTCTAGCTTGCGGCTAAAGAAAGCCCAGGACTTAGAAAACTTAAATAATAAATCAAAACAAACAATAAAAAGCGATTGTTAAAGCAAATCTTTTTTCATTGCTTTATTGAGTTCCCCACTTCTCTTTTCCATCAGCATGATGTTCCCATCACTCTCTGTGAGCTGGATGGTAGCCAGTGCATGGATTCGAAATATTGCATCGAAGCACTTTGCAAATGTGATCTTGTACACTTTTATATTTCAGTGATGACTGTGATAGGAGAGGTTGTGCAACTCTATCAGAAAAAAAAAATAATAAAACATATATATATATGTGTGTGTGTGTGTGTGTGTGTGTGTGTGTGTGTGTGTGCGTGTGCGTTATTGCCTGCAAAACCCTGGGGAATCTGCTGCCATGAAGATGTTTAGCACACAGGCATCAACAGCCTCCATGAAGTGGATGTGCAACAGAAACTCTTTGCTAAGGATCTGGTTGGTTAAAAAGCGATGCATTCAATGTTGATGGAAAGTTTAGTGGAAGAAAAATGTGTGGCAGAAAAAAAGCTGACAAGATTGTGAAGATAAGCCAAAAAAGAGTCAGGATGTGGGCTTCGATAGTGTGCTTGATTGGTGTCACACTGAAAAAAAAAGAGAATGAAGCTCCAACTTAAAAAAAAAATTCTTTAATATGATAAACTTCCTGTTAAATTGGATAAACATATTTTGATAATTTGTAACATCAGTGC